AATTTCAAGCTAAATTGATAGAGCAGTAGCCTTTTAAACTTCGGCTATTTTATTATAAAATTGTAAAAAAGTGAACGAAATCACGTGATTGGAGATTTAAAGCTGCTTGAACCATACACGTATCAATATTTCTTAAAGAGGATTTTCTTTTTAAACTACGTAACAGTTCAATTATTGCCTACTTTATACATATACATTAAATCAATTTGGCGTATATACGTACGTATTTAATCTCCAGATATCAATATCAAATTATATATAATTTTTAAACTTTGGCGTTTTTGATGTATAAAAAAGTAAAGTGTTCTTATATAAATTTGACACCACTTAATATATAAAAAAAGTGAATATTTTATATTGTCTTTTATCTAAATATGGCGTAGTAAATCTCTACTAACCAAAGTCAGATGATAGACGCGTGTGCGTGACTTTATAATTGGAAAAAATAAGGAAAATAGATCGTTACATTAAAAAACACGGTTTACAAATCTGCGCGCAGCGTAGTATAAAAAATTTTTTTTTTATAATTTAAAAGCAAGCCATCGAGATAAAAATAATTAAAAAAAAAAAAAAAAAATGCCTTCTCAAGTTAATCAAGTTGTTTCTAAACTTCCAAAAGATAAGGAACTTAACAGTTCCCGCCTTGTAAAAATCGTAAATGCACGTCTAATTCGAGATCATAAAATAATAGACGACGACGTACTTTATTTATATAACGGAAAAATCATCGATCCGCAGACTTACTTTTTTACCTTTGGTAATGTACCTGATGTTGTGATCGATGCTAAAGGATTATTAGTGGCTCCAGGGTTCATCGATGTACAGATCAATGGGGCTTTTGGTATGGACTTTTCTCAATTGGAAAATGAAGAAAAAATGAAGAAAGGAATTGACAAGGTTGCAAAAGGATTGTTAAAATACGGGTGTACTAGTTTTGTTCCAACAATTATTAGTTCAGGGATAGAAGTGTATCAAAAGGTATTTCATCGTTAATATAATTTTTCTTGATTAATATTTTAATAAATAAATTAATAAATGGATATTTTAATAAATGAAATATTCTAATTCTAATAAATGATTAAAATGAGTAAAGGTTATCCCACTTCTTAAACCTCGTAAAGGAAATAAGATTAATGGGGCTGAAATTTTAGGTAATTATAAAAAATGATCCCTTGTATTATTAAAACATTTATTTTCATGGAACAATTACTCCCATTATTGCAAAGGTGTTCACGTCGAAGGTCCGTTTATTGAGCCAAATAAATGTGGTGCCCATGAAGAATCTCATCTTCGTACCGCTTCTGGTGGCTTCTCTGATTTTGTAAAAGTGTATGGATTGAATGAAGGAAAAGATCAAATAGTTAAGATCATAACCGTCGCACCGGAAGTAGAAGGAGTTTTGGATAGTTTGAAAGATCTGGTTCAGGCTCGTATTACTGTCAGCTTAGGTATGCTCTCTCTCAATTTTATGATCGCTACTCCAATGTGCGTATATTCATCAAATATTAATCTGAATTATCTAGGTCATTCTTCTGCTACTGTGGCTCAGGCGGAATCAGCTGTCGAAAAAGGAGTAAGTCTAACAATACTCATTATATCTACAGTATATCAAAAGAATATATCTTTCGTTTGCTCATTATTATTATTATTATTATTTTATGCATAGGCTCGATTTATCACCCATTTGTTTAATGCCATGCAACAGGTAAAAAAAAAAAAAAAAAGAAAAAGTTGCACTAAAATTAAGCTTTCTCGCAAATCTATATATATAAAAAAATACCTTGGTTCACAATATCGTAGTTCCATCACCGTGATCCTGGCATAATTGGTCTACTTGGTACAACACGCGTCCCACGACCATATTATGGCATCATCTGTGATGGTATTCATGTTCACCCAAATTCTATTAAAATGGCCTACGATTCTCACCCAGATGGTGCAGTCCTCGTTACCGATGCTATGGCAGCTATGGGATTACCACCAGGAGATTATACTCTTGGTGATATTCCGGTGCGTAAGATCGGTGATGAACGAGTTGAAGTTATCGATAATGGACGACTTGCTGGATCGGTAATTACTATAGATGCTTGTGTTAGAAATTTTAGAGAATTCACGGGATGTACAATTATTGAAGCTGTTGAAGCAGCAACGTTGCATCCGGCAGAATTATTAGGAATACAAAATATTAAGGGAACTTTGAATGTTGGAGCTGATGCAGATTTGGTATTCCTTAATGATGATCTTAGGGTTATGAGGTGTTTTATTGCTGGAGAAGAAGTTGACATTTGACAGTAAACAGGTCTAATTTTTTTTTTTTTTTTTTTGCCAAACTCGCATTCAACATATATGTATTTTAGGCAATGTATTTCAAATATCAATACAAATATTAGATTATTATAAGAAATATATATTATTTCATGCATCTCATCCTATTATGTACATAAAATTTTTTTTAAACTTGAAGTGTATATCGATATAAATAACGAAGAGCAAATATCAAGCTAAAAAAAAAAAAAAATACGAAAAAAAGTAATTATTAAATTTCTTATTGTATTTTTATAATAAGTTGTGAATAGCTCACCTAAGAGTGGAGACAAAGCCAGCTGGCATAAATTTTCCACTTTTATAGAAACGAACACCCATTACAATAAACAACACTGATGATACGACTAAAGATTTAACAATTGAACCAAGTTATAGAACTATGGTTATAGACATAAATTACAGATAAAACAAAAAAATATTAAATTATTACGTACCGAATGCTAGAATTGCATTCTTTGGATTAACACTAGTTCGATTTGCAGCATATGCCTGAAACGTTATTTAGTGTTAGGAATTGAATTTTATTTCGGTGATAATGAAAAAAAAAAAAAAGAACACTAGTGAAATTCTCACCGCCAACCCGCCAAAAGTTAAACCGAAAAACAAAGAAGGTATACTCCCTAAAAGTGAATGGTTAAAGAAAACTTTTTTTTTTTTTTTCTTTTTACCACGCGACTACATGCATGTACAAATACCTGCTTTTACATAACCAAAAACACCTCCCAAGGCGATAGTCTGTGTATCGTAATAATTTAATTATATGAATAAAAAAAGTTTTGAACTTATTTAGAAAATAAAGAAAACAAAACGATAAAAATATTTACAGTAGCGTAAATATATCCAGGATAATCAGTCATGTTGTAATATAAATTTTGAGAAAGAAACCTTAAACGTACGGACTTATCGTACTGTACACTTGAAATTTATTTTATTCTGGGAATAACGATAACCAAAGGTCACGTTTTGATGTACTTAATTCTGACGATATCGGATAGAATACGTACCAAATTACAATTTGGAGATTTTTATATAACCATCTCGCGCAAGTCACGCGATATACGAGTTATATTGTTAGGTTTATCTCGCGCGAGGTACCGAGGCACATCTCTAGTTACTATCATACTATCCGATTCATGTCTTAATAAGACAAATTAAATACCGTAATAGTGCATAGACAAGACTCGGGTCTCTTACATTCCACCAATTTTAAAACCCTTTAGTAGACCCCAGGTCTGGTACACGTTGAGAGGTTATATCATGAGAAGAAAAAAAATTTAAAGTGCATACACGCTTTATATATATAATGGAAGCCTAGCTAATTGAAAAAAAACCGCATTTGATTAATAAAGATTCTGCGGTTCGCATCCGGGTCTACCGGGTCTAATTCATGGTGGGTCTTCTATTTTGGAGGATCTTGTATATGCACTTTACGGTATAAATCAAATAATGATGGTGCTTCTGCACCATACTGGTACTATAAACAGTTAGGGATGGTCACAACTCGACACAAATCGCGACTTGAGTCGACTCGACTCAGCTCATGATGCAAAATTTGATTTGGCTAAGAGTTTTTAGGAATTCCCTTGACTCAACTCGCTCAAAGCCTCAGTCGACTCGACTCGAGTCGTGCCCAACCTTATAAAGGTTATTCTGACTTGACAAAAACTTTGAATGTCTCATGATCATCTTGCCATCCAATATGTCTTATCTCTTTATCTGCTATTTTTCCAGAAAGTAATTATCAATTATTTCGTATATGTTGCAAGAACGAAATTTAATCCAGTGTCAGGATAAGTTAATATTAAGATTAGGTCTAGTGTTAGGAATAGATTTGCGCTTAGTACATAGAATCTCCAAAAGAAGGTTAAAATTTCACTATATATTATCTAAAAGATTCTAATCTTAATATATAATTATGATAAAGGAATTTGGTACTAACATAGTAACATAGTACATACATACGTTCTTGTCGAAAAAGCGTTACTTTGATCTTTTAAGTTTATATAATTTATTATATGAAAAATTGTCATCAGGCTTTCAATTATATTTTGTTCCGAACTTCAGAACTTATCCATTAAAGTCTGATCAGCGATATATTATACGTATACGTATTACGTGTTGATCGGATTTTCAAAAGCTCGACCGCACTTATATCACATCTATGTAATTTGATTATGACATTGTTACATATAATTTTTTTTGATATTAAAAAATTAATACGTACTCGAGGGTAGTGAATAAAATAAAAGCTAGAAAAGACTAGAAATGTAATTTACCTTGCGAGATAATGGCTTAATCTTTACATCCATTTCGAAATTTGTATAGTTTATTGCTAAAGGAAAAAATATATAGTATAAAAAAACGGAGATATATTAAAACAATTTTGAGATCTATAAGTATATGCGCTATATCTTAAATGTATGCTAAGTTTTATCGAGCAGAGGTACATTCTTCGGACAATACTAAAATCTTTTAATCATAAGAAAAAAAAAAATGTTTTCATTGTGATTTCATTACAGAATAATTTGAAAAGGTATTTCTTATGTTATGCCGGAAGACCCCGAACGTACGTACATATATCCATTTTTACAAAATTAAATGTGACTTCCACAAGTCACCACAAGTCATTCCCGAAAAAAAAAAAAGCGGTAATTTGTATGTAAAATATGAAACTATTATTTTACAAATATCAGAACAAAATGTTCATTTTGAAATTAGCTGAATTACTACACATGAAGTTATTCGAAGCTAGTCAAGTTGTATGTTAATATTAACATTATTAGAAGAAAAAAAAAGAGGGGAGAGGACGAAATTTACAAAAATTCAACAAATAAAAAAAAAAAAAAAAAAACTACTCTTGTATATATAACATCAATCATTATTCACATTAATACAGAATTATTTCACAAAATTCAAAGTAAAAAAAAAAAAAAATTAAGATGTTAAATCCAGCACAGTTTCTTTCTGAGCAAAAAATCTGTGAAATCTAACAACGCTTTGGTGTTCTTCAGCTTCCTCAAGCACTGTTCTGATAATCGAATCAATATCACCTATTCTAACACCAAAATAATTTGCTAATTTTGGTAGAAAAGTCTTCAAAGTATCTTTTGCTACTTGAGCAGAAGTTTCACCCAATCTACCACCAAATGGACCTAGAGGAAGATATTGTATCTTGTGTTGAATATTACGGAGTTCCGATGTCATATGCATGTAATCCTTGAATTGGCCGATATGTGTTAAACGAAGGTGACTTGAAACTGGATATAGTTTAAAAATTCATGTTGGCAGAGGAATTGGGAATGTATTACGAGTAATTAAAACAGGTAACGAAAACAGGTATTAAAACAGGTAACGAAAACAGGTATTAAAACAGGTAACGAAAACAGGTATTAAAACAGGTGATTAAAACAGGTAATCAACGTTAAAATGGATAGTTAAACCAGGAAAAATTTAGCATACATAGATTCAACAATTTTTCGGTGGTAGGTCCTTTTTTTCCATAGGAATAGTCATAATCCGATAACTATTAGAAATTATACTTTGATTAATAGAAAATACAAAGAGAATAATAGCTAGATAAATATAAATTATACGCACTTCTATCCATCCGCCAGGTTTCAATACTCTCACTAGCTCCTAATTGTGTTAAAAGACGTGAGTGAGTGAGTGAGTGGAAAGTATTCTTAATACAATTTTAATAAAAGAAATGAATAAAATAACATACATTCATAATAATTTGCCATTCAGCTTCATTATAGTCGATCGAACGATTTTTCATAGTCACAAAATCGAAAGTTTCATCTTTTAAAATATATGCAATCTTAATAAACATCTATTCGATACGTACTAAAAATACTAAAAGATACTAAAAGCAGGTTTATAAACCTAAAATTTAAAATACCTTCATATGGTAGACCACGAAGAGGATCTGCTTCTATAAATTCAACATCAAAAGGCCTATTAACGGTTTCTAAACTTGAATATGGAGATGTATATGTGCCGATGTAAGTACATCCTGGGTAGTCAGCAGATAATTCGAATAGCCAGGTTCCTACATCGCATCTAATTGAACAAAAATAAATTAATAAAAATATCTATAACATATATTTTACATTATTAGAAAAATGAAAAAAAAACTTACCCAACGTCCAAGACTTTAGCCCATCCTGTTTTAAGCACATCGTGTACTGGAGAGCTAAAATTTCCTTTAAACATTTCTCTTGTAAGATGATGTCTTGTATGTAGAATTTCTTTTTCTTCATCCGTTAGTGGAAATGTTTCTTGATAACCCGAGATAGATTTTGAAAATGGCTTTCCCATTTTTTTTCTTTGATAAAATTTTGGATCGGAGAAGTTAGGGAATTTCCGAATTTAAAGAATTGAATTTTTTGAAATAGAATTCTTGAAATAAAATTCCTGGAGAAGTGACAATATTTATAAAAAAAAAAATAGTTTTCTTTTTTTATTTTTTTATTCGAATTTCATCTGAAGAGATTCTTTTTATTCGAAAATTGCTTGTCAAAGGGGAAAAAAAATTCAATTGATAATCATGGGATTGCACTTCTAGTTTTTTTTTTATTGCAGTACTGAACCATTACCAATACAATAAGGCAAATAATGTCTATTGCAGCTGTTTAGTGTTCAGTGCAACCAGCACATAAAGTTTTTGGTGACTAACTTTATTCGACTGCCAATTTTTGGAAAATCTCCGACACAAACCAATAACACGGAAAGCGTACTCCGAATTTTTGATCGATTGCGTGAATATAGAATAAGATTAGAATACTGTAAGATTAAATAAGATTAAGCAGTCTTTTTTTTGATATGTATGTAGTGGTCGGATACATAGTAATTGAGTAGGTAACATAAATGCGCCTATAAATGTGACAAATCGAGCAAAGCATTATCATAATTACAAATTTATCAAACAACACTTATTTTATGCCTAATCTTTTGCATTACGGATAAGATCAGTGAGATACGTATTCAAGTTCAAAGCAAATCTTTGTTTATACGCATATATAGAAAGGTCATTTCGATGTATTGTTCTTTCACGCGTTGAGATTAACATACAGTACACGGAGCACTAGACCCACACCACAATGTTATACAAGCTTTATTAAATCCCACTATATTGAAAAAGGTTATTGGTAAAAATATCACGTATCGTGATGCCAAATTGTTAATGATTTTCCAATTAAAAATTTATGTTTGTTACGTAGCAACTTAACTGATAACGACAAGTTATCAAAGTTGTTTTTAGTTAAACGATATACAGTATTAATAATCCATTCAAAGTTTTTGGTCGGTTGTAAAAATTTGATCAAGACTATTAATTATATACATAACGTACTATATTCAATATATCATTATTATGCAAGTAATTAACACCAAAAACTATATATATTTTAAATTGACTGTTTTAATAAGGTTATTTATCCAAATAAAGCCAGTTACAAATAATGCCAGTTCCAAATAAAATCAGTTTGTTTCTAAAATTTTTATTGTGTTTATTATATGCTAGAGAGTGTATGAAATTTTTTTTTATAGAGCTTCTAGATTTTGTATCAATCAATTCAAGCATCTAGATTTCTGTAGCAATAAAAATTAACCGAGATTTTTAATTATAAATTCCAAGAATCTCTTGTGTTTGTTTTTATATAATTTAAGAGGTAGATATGGTTGATTATCAGTTATTACTACTGTATTAATACCAAAGATCAATTGTATTAATTAAAAAAATTATATAATTGCATTAATTTAAAAATTATATAATTTATTATTCAAGTTATGTTTTAATTGCATGAATTGTTCATTTTTTATTCAATAAGTATTTTCTATGTATATATTCTTTAAACAATTTACTTTATTAGTAAATCGGAAATTCGTAACCAACTTTAAGAAGTCAGTACGTATTCGTTATCATTTATTCGTTATCATTTATTCATTATCAGTTCAATTACTATTACGGTAATTTCCGACATTTATCGTTATCTGTTATAGAAAATTTACCAGCCGTGTCGAAAATTTTGCTTAGCTGACTTTTTTTTTAGTTACCGTGCTCATAACGATAACTATAGATACCGTATATATGCTGTATAACTACAATAATAAATATACTGTACGTATCGTAGATTTCAATATAGTTTTCTTGATTTTCTAAATAAGTTCAAAACTAT